GTATGCTTCGTAAAAGGTAATCTGCTGGTTTCTAGTTATGGCAAGGACAAGCTGTTTGGGCCCAATCACTGCATCTTGTAGGCCTTCAGCTGAGGCACAGAGATTAGGGAAAACAGAGGAACCTACCCTTCCCTAAGGACAAAAACCACTACACTCTGCTCATCCCTATTTTGCTTCCCATCCATTCCATGCCCCACAGCTATTCACTTAGTACTCTTTCACCACCTTTATTCTCATTATTTGGGGGAGGAAGTTAATGTGAGGCAGGCAGGTGGAGGTAGGCAGAGAGCAGAGAAGCATCTGATTTAGTCTGCCTACACAACAGGTAGTGTATAGTACAAAGTAGATTTCACTGTGTTGACTTCATCTGAGCCTGGTTTGTTTCCTGGTTTTTGTGTTTGTAGTCAGTTCTATGTGGTTACTTCAGATAGTGGCAGAGATTTGTTTTAGGCTACTAAACAGAATCTCGACGAAGAGGCCCTTCCTAGCCCATAATATTCAGAAATGCTCTTTTCTTACAAAGTAAGGAGCTTCTAGGTTGTAATTTATTTGTTTGTACATTTATCCAACACCCTTCTTGTCCCCGTGACACACCTACTAACTATAGCGAGATACTTTGCCAGGTGCTAGGAATAAAGTTGGTTGCAAAACTGACCCTCAAGGTGTCAGAGACAATAGACAAATAAGTAGTTAATATGTAATTTAATGTCACGTAGCAATGCATTGTGTGAAGGGAAGTAAACAAGGTGTAAGTATCACCAGGAGCTTATAACCTTCATTAGTTACTTCCTCTGCAGTTTTTGAGAAGGTTGTTTTAAAGGCTTTGAGTCACTGAGTTTTGAAAGGGAACCTACTAGCTGGGGAGGTATGGAGAGTGTAGAATGCTTAGTTGGAAGATGCTGAGAAGAGGTCAGTTGTCAAGTTGTGGTTCAGACCTGAATGTCTTTGACACAGAGCATACATTCTTTCTGGGGAGCCACTAAGCTTCTAAGCAGAGTGGGCTTTGCCACTGGAGGACCTTTAAGTACAGTTATTATTTGTTTTGTCTTCCTTTTATCACCTCCCTTCCATTGTAATAGCCTGGTTGAACTCTACTGGTTTTCACCTCCCTCCTTTCCCCTTGCCTTGTTACTGCTTATATTTATTAACAAGAACTTTGAACCTTTCTGCTTTTTTTTTTTTAATGGATTTTATATCCAAATTAACACCTCCAGTGCCAAGACTTCTTCTGGGGCTTCTGCCCTCATCTCTTCCTTGCACTAATTTAAGGAGAAAGCAAAGGCTGTAGCCCAAGAATGCAGGGGGCTCTGGCTCTGCCTCTGAGTAACTGTCTCTGAGCCAAGTCACACTGTGTACATCAGTTTCTTTTGTAAGGTGAGGCATTTGGATCAGATGGCCTCTAAAGGCTTCTTCCACCTATAAAGCTCTGTGGACATTCCTTGCCAGAGAGAGAGACAGAGAGTGTGTGTAGACTCTCTGGGGCCTAGGGCATCCCATTGTCCGTATAGAAAAACTTACCAAGTTTCTTCTTTAAACTCCTATCTGTGGAGTTGAGTGTTTATGTTCTCTTTTACTGTTAAAACTGTCCTTTAGGCTAGAATTAGAAATTATAAACAGAAACAAGAAGTTGGGTTTGGCTACACCTTAACCTGCCCTAATGGTACACTTACACACCTATTTCTTTACATACTTCCTTATCCCCCACCACACACACACACATACACACACACACACACCCCCTTCCTCAAGTTTATCATTAAAAATAGTAATTGTATCTTTAAGAGTTAATCTGATTTTGGAACCAATACAGAGTAGGAATGTGAGGATGGTCAGACATGGAGATGTGGAGTAACACACTGCTAATGTGTTACTCTCTGTTTTTGGGGCTCAGAAGATGTGGAGTAACACTGCTAATGTGTTACTCTCTGTTTTTGGGGCTCAGAATTAAAACTGCTCCTGTCCTATCTTAATCTGCTAAAGCATCTGAGAGAACAAGCATGAAAAGGGAATGCTTCTCCCATATCTGAAAAAGAACCAAGGGACTTTCCTTGGAGAGTCTTTCCACTTTTGTTTTGCTCAGCTTTCCCAATCAGAGGTAATGTTAGTATAGAAGAAAGCCAGGGAGAGAGAATCTCAACTCTGCTTTTTAAGAAAAAGAGGGATGTAGGAAGGCTTACAACAGTGTTGGGATGATCCTCTAGGAATTAGTGCACCTAACATTCGAAGTAGAAACTGACCAGCACATAGTAAATATAAGTGATTGAGTTGGTGGGCGTATAAATACTGTAGTGATGGCAGAAGCAGCCATAGAAATATTTCTTTTAAAGTGTGTGATGCTGGCTGCTTATGCAGTGTCTCTTCATCTTTAAATCCTTATTTGAAACATAATTTACAGAAACTAACCAGACTAAATTGAAGCTACATTCATAGTCAAAGACAAATTAAATAAACTTTAAAAATCTTTTAAAATTAACGATATACCCAAGAGGATAAGGTAAGATGTGTTAGATTTTTCAAATATAATGACCAGCTATGTGAACAACAGATTTCAGTACGTGAAGCAGGTTGAGAACAATATTGCTTTACATCTTCTGGTTATTATGCCACAATATCCAGTTTTTATAAATAGTTCTCTTCCTGCCTCCCTTCCTTTTCCCCTTAAAGAGGAGGCTGTATTTTTTTCTCTATTCACCTTGTAAAAGCATTCACTTTGCTCTAAAGCATTAGATATACACAGAACATGACCTAAGAAGAAAATGGAATTTTATTCTTGGTTCTCCATTTTCACTTTTTTACCTCAAAATCCATTTATTACCAAAGTCACTTTTCTGGGGAGAAGGGGCAGTAAGAACCATAAAACAAAATTCACAGCCTTTTGAGAAGGTAAATTTATGGGAATTGCAACTGGACTTAGAAAAGCTTGATTTGTGTTTTCACATTGGCTCTTTCTGTAGACTCCATCACAGCATTAGGAAAATATCACAAAAATATCAGTGCTTCATATTTAAGTTTAACTGCCATAAAAGGACAAATGAATTTGTTAAGCATAAAATTAATATTTGCTTTATTTGGAAATGTAAAAATTTACATTCATTCTATCTAAAATATTTTTTCTATCATATAGATTATCCCAAGGACTAATGCTCATTCAGAGAGCCCACTGTGTGATAATGTATCCACAATAAATCTTGTTTAACTTTCAGTTTTAAAAGGGTCTTATGGGTGATTGGTTCTTTGAGCCATGCTTTATAGTTAATAAATGGAAAAAAGTGTGGAATATTGAAGTGTGTCATTTAAAGATGTAAAAAAATGATGCTTGCCTATTTAAAAAAAATAAAATGCAGACCCTGGGAAACACAGCTGTTAGAGATTTAATAGAGGTTATGATTTTCAACAGTTGAGCTATAGTTTATGGTACAGATGGCACTCTGGGTATAGCTGAAACAGTAACTGATGGTTTCTGTTTCCCTCCTCTTCTATCAGTTCCAAAAGAGTGGAATATCTTTTTACCAAAGCAAGAATTTTTCCATTTCCAATTAACAGCCTGTATCAAATAAACAACTTTTCTATTGCATATTTTGTACTTCACAGTGACCTGGGTGTCGGCCCCGCTTTCTTCTCATTATGGTAGGCTTCCATAGATTTGAAATAATAGTTTTAGGGAAATCCTACTTTTCCATACTAACCTGCAGTTTACATAGCCTATCTTCAGACCAAATAACATATAATTTTTCTTTTAGAATACTGAAACCAAATCTTGCATTGCTCCAAACAAAATTAGCAAACAAAACAAAACTCCATGAAGCAAAAGTAGTAGGCACCAATATTATATGCTTTAAAATACTCAACCACAGGAATTACTAGAAACAGATAAATCCCGAATTTTGGGCATGTAGAAAATGCTGTTTCAAGTGATAAGTTAAATATAGATGCTATTTAAAAAGGGAAATAATTGTCATACATTTCTTAAATTTTATTTTACAGTATATGTTCAAACCAAATAAAGTTTGAGTGATAGATGGTTTTTTCATCTCTTATTCCATTGTTTTAAATGTGACATAGCATATTTTCTTTTTTAACTCTTCTGCTAATTTTTATTCTGAAAAGTAAAGTAAAATATGCAGATGTTCATCCAGGTGTTTAATTATCATATGGTAAGGGTCCATTTATAGCAATAGCCTGTTCAGGGCTTAGATGTAACTTAAAGTTCAAAATGCCACTGATTAACAAAATTCTTCTACAGGCTTTACCTTTTAAATTAGCATTTCTACATAACAAACCATTGTCCAAAATATTACTCTAGAGAAACTAGCATTATCTTTAATTTTCAGTGCATTTTGTCATTTATCCATTGATTGGAGTTGAAGTAAAAAGTTGGAACTCAAAATTATGTCACGTCCATGGACAAATTGGCAAATGCTTTTAAGACAGATTAGAATTTGTAAGTTTTGAAGCTTAAGTGTTCAACTTTTTAAGTTAGATTCATCCTAATTACAAGATGTATTTCTAACAGTGTTTTTCTAGTCTTTTATATGAAGATTCACAAAGGGGAGGGAGTGAGAAGCGGCACTAATAAATCCACTACCATGTGGTAGTGTTTCGCACTTTGCTCTTCTAAGACATAAGGGAATTCAAGTCCGAGGAGAGATAAGGAGATTGAGTTGTGGTATTACAATATATCTACCCCCCACCACCCTTTCCCAAAGATTTCTCAACACAGGCAGGATTCAGTTGTGGCTCACTTGGAGAGAGTATGTAATATATAGTGATCCCCCAGCACTCGTGATTTAAAATCAAATCCCATATTTGTTTTTTTCCGTTGGAGTAAACTTTCTAAGTTTTGTGTGAGTTTAAAAAGGTTTTGAACCTAGAGTTCATTGGACGCGCTTTTCGAAACCTGTCTGCAGTTGGTGATGCTAACTTTAAAAGCCACTTACAGTCCGCCTGGTTCTCTGACAGCTATGCGCCTTGCTGGAGCTGAGCGGCTCTCCCGGGCTTACCTGAGCTGCCGGCGCCGGGGCCGGGCGGGGGCCGGAGGGGGCCACAGTCTCGCGGCGCTGCGAGCCGGCTGTGCGCGCTCCGGGAGTCGCCCGAACAATGCGAGCGGGGCGCCGAGCGCGCCCGGCCTAAGGGCGTTACGTCACTGCGCTGCCTTATAAGGCGCTCCGCGTGTGCGGCGCGGGAGGCGGGGGCGCGGATGACAGCCGGATCCGCGGTGGCGGCGGCGGCGGCGGCGGCCGTGGTGGTGGTGGTGCAGCGAGATTGCAATGCGCCCCAGGTCCGCCGACGCTCGGACCGTGTGAACGGACGGTCAGTCCCTGGCTCCCCGCGGAGGGGAATGGGCTGCGGGCCCGGGACGCCGGCGCCCTCCTGCCTGCCTAACCAAGTCATTGGGGGTCATGGTCAATCCTTTAGTAACTTTTCTCCCTCTGGGGCTTTAAAGCTCCTGTTATTGCTTCAGATTCTTAAATGCACATCCTGTTATTCTTATTTAAACTTTTGTAAATATATTTTTGTTACATTTGTTTTTTGGTTGCTGGGGGAGGCGGGAGAGGGAGCCAGAAGCCTTTTTTAGTTTTTTGGATTTTTTTTTTTTTTTTTTGAGACATCCCGAGGGTGATTTAGACTTCAAACCTTCTCTTTCCTTTTTTGTAAAGAGTAGGGGTCCTCAGAGGATAGTATTTTATTTCCTGATGATGTAACTACCAAACAATTCTTCAAGTGATGATGGGAAGGCCAGATGAAATCTTATTTTTTCAGTGTTTTTCCTGAAAGAACCTCCTAGTTCCTCATTTCTGCATGCCTGTGTTTTAACGAAAGTAGTTCAAACTAATGTTTATTTGTCAGGGAAAGTATTTATTTTAAAAAAAATAAATGTTTTATGCTGTACTTTCAAGACAAAGTGTAAAAATAGAACTTCAGGACCAGTTTTAAAACATTTGTTCTCTTCTCCTAGCAAACAAAGACATGAGAAGAAAAAAGAAACTGATCAAATATGACTGAATTAAGCCTCTAGTATAGGGCAGATTTACTTTTAAAAATTCTTTTTCTGGGAAATGAGAATTAGCCTCCTAATTATTTTGCACATTAATAAGAGAAGTAATCTCTGAAGTTCTAACCAACTAGGTGAATCTGCTAAGTAAATTAGGGATGTGGCTGCCTTATTTGCAAGCTCCAAATGAATTGAGTAGTTTTAATGACTTGAGTCTATTTAACTTTTTAAATAAACATTAAAATAGGATTGCTTCCTATTATGATGTACATAGGTTTATAGAACTACTGTTTTCATATGTTTTGTCAAACAGGAATAATGAAAGCAGTTTGTTTCTTTTCCTTAGTTTGGAGTAGAGAAAGGCTGGTTGCAGAGAATATATAATTAGTGAAAATGGTGAAAAAAATATACAGGGCACAAAAACGTGTGTCATCTTTGCTGAACTGTGGGCTCACTTTGATAGTTCTTCTATATCACTCTCTACTGAGAAGCCTGTTAAACTTCTGCTTTTTATATATACTGTTTTGAGAAACCAATGACTGTACCCTTCCACTGAGCTTAAAATTTAATATTTGATTTACACTTTCATATTAACATTTTAGATATTGGTTTGTTAGTTTTATCCTACCTTATAGTTGTGAAGTGTGGTTGAATCTTTTTAGTCTCCTATACTTGCCTTGTACTTATTAAACATGTTTTTGAGACTTTTATGCTAGATTTGATTCATTCAATGAGATAAAATGATTGTTGGAAAGTTGCATAAACACCTGCATCTCAGCTTCAAACTGGTGACAAAGTATCTTTACCCAAAGCCAGCATTTTTGTAACTGGTTTTGCCTCCTTTCCCCTCTGATAGGTACAGAGGTTTCCTAACATTGGACTATTTTATTTCTTTCCCACATTTTTGTACTCATGCTTTGCATTTATTTCCATATTTTTGATTTCCCACTTCCCCTGTAAAATATGTCAGCATTATTTCTTCCTTTTCTTTAACTGTAGTAGCTGAAGAACAGAGAAATTAAGTGGATACAACACTCGTCTAGGATTATGAAGCAAGAGAAAAGAGGATTAGAACTCCTTGTGTGCCTTGCCTGGTGCTATGTTACTCCCTGAAGCAGTGATCTCTGACCCACCTATGACTCAGCATTCCGACTGAGATCACGATATATACCACTCTTCAGGAACCAGTTGTAACATTTGTTGAGCTTTTTAGTTCATGCTAGTCACTGTGCTTAGTGTTCTACAAGTACTCCATCATTGTAAGGTGGTATTAGTCATACTTTTCAGATGAAGAAACACATTTGGAAGGGCAAAATGGCTTGACCAAGGTCATACTGCTAATAAGTAGCCAATGTAGTGATTTGAACCAGTGTTTATGAATACAGCCTTTGTCTTCTCTTAATGGTTTGCTCAGAATCTCTCAGAAGTGTTAGTTAAAAAAATGCTCGGATTTAGTTGAGAAGTTTCTATCTTTATTTTCCAGACTGAATGTTAAACTAGGAAAACCAAGACTGACCTTTGCAGGCCACCCACCAGAGCCACCCTGATTATGCACTGAATAACCCTAGGGAAGTCGTTCATATTGGAGACATCATGGATTTGTATGTAAGACTAAGACTATTTGTATATAAGCTAAGACAGCTTTTTTGAGGATGTTGGCAACATGTTTTGGTCTAATAAAATTAGAATAATATGACAGTTTTCCAACAGATGAAAGTCAAGGGTCTTGAGCAGGGGGGATGTTTATCTGACACAAGAGCACCCCAGTTCTTGTTTGGAAACTCCAACCAGCCATTGGTATTATGTTCTGTTGGCCACAGGAGTCCGCAAGTAGACTTTTATTTCCTTTTCCCTTCCTATGAACATTCTCTTTGAGATGTAATTTTTGTTTTCTGGGCTTCTGACGTGTATTTAACAAAAGAATGGAGTTATGACCACTGTGCCTCAGTCTTGGCTGAGAAAATTTTACTTCCTTTTTTACTGAAAATTTTATTGTCCAATTGCTATATGACTCTTCTTATTTTATAATCCAGAATTTCCTACAAACAATTATAACTACAAATTAAAGTCCTTTCTATAATGAGTAATTTGAATTTATGATCTAAATCAGCAGTAGCTTTATTTGGAAATGGTTCAAAGGAATTTTTCTACCAATCTAATTGCTTTCTAATGAGGAAGAAGGGTTTGTAGGCAACAAGGATGGAAACTAGAATATATCGATTAAATTGAACTATACGAATCACTCTTGTTAGATAGTCAAAACCAGTTGAATATCAGCAATTTCCCGTGGTTCAAGCTAATGCCAGGAGTTCAATACAGTGACCACAAAAACCGATGTTATTACCAATGTACACAATATTGTCATTTAACTGTTTAAAAATACCATTAACATGTTACCAAGAATGTCAAAGCCAGTTTCTCTTTGTGAAATGACTACTCTTTCTTTCATGCCCTGTCTCCCTGCCTTTGTTTCTTCTTGTGACTGGTGAAGTCTTTTAGTCATCCAAATAAGTGCAAGAGAAACAGTATTCTTAATTAACTGCACCTTTCTTCCCAGCTGCCCCCAATTTTCACTAACGCTTCTTTCATCAGTTAAGGGGTGATGTGCACCGCTCCCTGGAAGCTCTGTTGGAATTTATGGGATAGTAACACTAACTTTTGAGTGTGATATGTTTGCTCCTTTGCATCTATAAAATAGTGTATGTGAAAACACTATAACACACAAAGGAAAACAATTCTTATCACAGGCATAGTCCTATATGAGAAGCTGAGCGTAGTGGGGACAGATCCAGGGTGGCATGGGGAAAAGTTCTGTAGGCTTGCGTTACATTAGGCTGCAGTTGGATTAGCCAGAGTGTGAGCCTTTGGCATTAAAGTATTCCACCTCAGGGAACATTCTGATACCTCACTGGCAGGCTTCTTGCAAAGCAGCTTTGTCTGTGAGCCTTGGGCTAGCCTGCCATGTATCCAGTGCTGATCTCTCTGCTGCTACACAACTTAAGAGGAAGGGACTGAGCACCACCGGTGGGCAGCTATAGAACGTAGAGCCAAAAAGGATGTCTCAGGGCAAAAGCACCTTCTCTCCATGCCAATAACAATCACTTTCCTTTTTTTCTTTTTTTTTTTAAGAGCATTTTATTTTTTTAAGTAAGCTCCATGCGCAATTTAGGGCTTGAAATCACAACCCTGAGATTAAGAGTCACACTACCACCCACAGAGCCAGCCAGGCACTCTGAACAATCAGTGTTCTAACCTGTTCCTTTCACTCTTCTTTCTGTTGCCCAGGTGTCTTCTGCCTAGTTTTGTACACATAAGTGCCCACACAAGGGGCGCCTGGGTGGCTCAGTTGGTTGAGTGTCTGCCTTCAGCTTGGGTAATGATCCCAAGGTCCTGGGACGGAGCCCCGTGTCCTCTGGCTCATCGTCATGGTCGTCGTTGTCGTTGTCGTGGGGCTTCCTACTCGGGAGCCTGTTTCTCCTTCCCCTCTGCTCCCCCTGCTTCTGCTCTCTCTCTCTGTCAAATAAATAAATAATCTTTAAAAAAAAAAGTAAGCGCCCACACAAAACCTACCGCATCTCCAGGCAGCACACAGCACGTGCACTGCGCACCTAGAGCCTTCCACCAACAAGTAATGGGTTACAGTGAACCTGGATTTGCATAGAGATCCACTTGCCCTCATCTGCAACCCAAATCTCCTGTCCTCTGTAGTCCTTGAAGTTTCCAGAAGCCCTTCAACTATTCCTATTCATACTTCAGCTGACTTTGATTTTAGAACAGGGACTAATGCCTTTGAGAGCGAACTCAGGCTGATTATAGCAACAGTGTCAGTGGTAATACAGTAGTAATACTAGAGAATGAGAAGCCTGTTATTAAGATGATTTTTTGTGGCTTTGAAAATCAATTTTACAACAGTTCAATGCCCATGATAATTTGGAAAATGCAGAAAAGTAGAAAAGACATTTTACATCTAGCCCTCCCTCGTGAATACTGCCAACTATTAACAGTTAGAGGTACAATTGACCCTTAAACAGGCTTGAACTGCATGAGTCCACTTATATGCAGACTTTTTACAGTGCAGTACTGTAAGTATATTTTCTTTATGATTTTATTAATAATATATTTTTCTTTAGC